AATGGACATCGGCCGCAGTCACGGTTCTCGTGTTGGTCATAGTTGCCCTAATCTGTGCAGTGAACATTTTCTAGCTGACTCTAGCAGTTATGAAGTGCTGAACTTAAAACGAATGGTGTATGGCTACTTTCGTGGTGCCTATTCATTGTATAACTATTCAGCCTAGAATCTGAGGCCTCCCATCTTACAATTCTGCAGCACAACTATTCATATATTCCGTCGCACACTTTTATTAACAAATACATAATAACCAACTTCTGATTATTTTAACTGAGGACACAGTTATGAGTAGTCTCTATTTATAAAGTAAGGACAACGATGCTCCTTGTCGCCAATACGCAGAGTCACGTTTTATTGATCAGTACTATCATCGTCGTTCCTCGGCAGTAGTCACCGCGATCATCTTGGCCGTGGTAGTCTTGACGTATGGAGTAGAACGCTTCGGCGTTATAAACGACAGCAGTGGCGTCGACATATGCGCCCTTTTTCGGACACTCGGTGTGGTCCGAGACGTCTTGATGGCTTTGGGCACGCAAGTAGGATGCCTGCTGTTTGTAAAAAGAGATAGCTGACATGACAACGGCCAACCCTAGCAGCACGCACAGCACTCCACAGGCTAGTGCTGTGGTTGAGGCTAGGCTCTCTACTCTTTCGACACCGAGGTGCCGTGGTTCAACCGCCCTAAAATGCTGCTGGTCTCGTGAGGGTGTGGCGACGTTGCTCATAGCACGGTTGGGGCAGCGGAATACCGTTCCTCCGGGACGTGGCCTTCACTACGGCGGGCTTTCCCTTGACGTATGCCGACGTCTCACGAAAGCCAGTTGATGATGGAAGTGCTCACAGAAGCTGCCCGTTGGCTTGGGAAAGAAACGGCACTGATTGGGCAGAAACCGCTTATTCTTATTCTTGGTCACCTTTACCCGGTGGCTCACACCCACTGTGGGGAATAGGCGAATATTTGGGTGATTTTGTAACTGTACGTAAACATTTAGGATAGTGTAACGTGAAGAATAGAAAAAAATTACTAATTGCTCAGGACGTTAATTTCAGGCTAATAAGAGTCAAACATAATAATAATAATAATAATAATAATAATAATAATAATAATAATAATAATAATAATAATAATAATAATAATAATAATAATAATAATAATAATAATAACACAAACACACGCCTCCTGTATACAGGCTTCATAATGCAGCATGTAACACCACAGCAATATTGCGTGGTACAAGCGTACATTGCCGCAAGCGTGAGGACATGTCATTATAAAAACGAATTCGTGGTGTAAAGTAAGCGACCCATTACAAAAGGCACATACGTTACTGCGCGTATTCTCTTTAGACCACGTAGTGGGTTAGTAGCAAGTTCGAAAGCATTTCACGTGCATATATTTGCTCATGCATGGTTTAAAGCATGCTACCTATTACACAAAGTGTAGCCATATGCACCGACCCAAGGCACAATTTCAATTTCTCGAGTAACATGATACAATAAAATGTATGCACTAAATGGCTAAAGTACACACTAGGGACAGGACATCGCTATCTCATTTAACTCTTAAAGGAGAAACTTAAGGTGTCTCCTTTTTGTAGTGCGTTGAACTCTACAATGCTGGAACAACCAGCCATCCCGAGAAATATTGCAAGCGCTATCAAATCAGTTCACTATGCGTTTGTACTTAAAAACAGTGTTTAACGATTTAGAGTATATACATGGTACTCTACTACGAGAGAACATAAAGCCTTCACTATCAAGCGAAAATGCACTGTTTAAACAGGTTTATTAACACTATAAAAACAAAAAAAAAATAGGACAACATTTCAATAATAAGGGGCACATAGACATCGGCACATCGACGTGCCATGGTAAACATGAATATGTTTAGTCAAGTAATAATTACAGCAAATATGCGTTTAGAAAAATGGTTTAACGATTTAAAGTACTTCGAACATTACCATGGGACTGCAATAAGCCGTCCATTTACATGCCAAACAATATTTACATTATATTGCTGCCCGCACTATACTCCTACAGTTCTCATCGATGAGCGCTAATCTCAAGGAAGCTGAGGCACATCAAACAAGCACTGCTGGTAAGAAATTACGTAGAGCCCTTGAGTTTGGGGATCAATAAACCAGGTAAACAGTTTCACAACGCCCGACCTCACAATCTGTTTACCAAACTTTGCTGTTGTTTTTTGATATATTCTCTGGCAAACAAGACTGATTGACAGAAAGGCTGAACATCCACGATGAACAAAAGTATTTTTCAGAAACTAATTTAAAATACTCTGGACACATGAGCGTTCCAATGACACTTTTCAATAGTTTCTTGTGTTTGATTAGTGTTTAAGTATGCCTGATTATTCTTTAAAGCATTAATTTAGGGTCAAAGCTTGTCATGTAATAAATAGAAAAATTGGTGGCGTAGCTTCGTAGGCAGTAAGACAGCTGTTGGCCTAAGAAGAGGCTTGGATTTAATTCTCGCTAGGACCAAATATTTTGTACTATCAACTGACGAGCTTCTCAAACTTTCGCTCTCGAATCAAGGACGATATTCCGCTTACAACCGACAAAGACGACAACAACATTTCTGTGAAACGAGCTCTTTTAAGCTTTCGCGTTGAAACGACCCGGTTTGTGTTGTACAATATTAAAGACGACAGTCCTGCTTGGGGACCTTCAACGTAAAAATTATGATCTGTCTGTCTGTCTGTCTGTCTGTCTGTCTGTCTGTACATTTGCATGCTTGTCTGCCCTTAACGATACCCCAAACTGCACCAAACGATACTCTCAACGGCCGACCCTATCCGCAGCACCCACCTATATTGCTCTAGATTCAGCCTTCATACTTGTGTGATTGTCAATTAAAAAGCAATTATAGCACATATCTGAGGTACCATAACAACACGTCAATATTCTGTATGTGTGTCTTTTTACTAGAAAAGGCATACATAATTAATTCTAAGGACCATAGCGTTTATCACGTTGCGCTGCCAATGCAACGCTTGCACGAAAAGACAAGCGTATCCAACGGTTTGCTAAGACGACACGGTGGCGGCACCTACCCTTCGCTTTGCGTTCTACACCTATTCGCTTCCGAGATGGGCGCGCATGCCCCGCGCTTCGTTTTCCAAGACAACTGCCAGATAGCGCTCATGCCTCACATGGGACGTGACTTGATGAGCTTGTTCGCCTCCGTTGCACGCTCGAGGCACTCTAACGGAGCGCCTCCAGAATACTATTCAGTGATTTTCTTGCACAGAACATCAAATAAATGTTTTGTTCACTCTCTCCACACGCGAGTCTATCGTCTTTCGACGACATTCGCCAATTAACATGCAGAAACGGGGCAAATTTTTTATTTATTTTCATTTATTTATTGTTAAGCATCATAACGGTGTGAGCAGTGCACTGGTCTTTTAACAGAACTACTCAAATGGAGTATGTTTCGTAGAAATGTTTTTTTTTTCAAAGCAGACTTCATCCTAAAAATTCTTGATACCTCACTGTCATTGTACCCTAAACTAGCGCGTGGGTTACAATCACAGTCTCACACTTGCCCACAATACGCGATTATAATCAGTCAACAGTGGTGGATGAGAAAGCATGAGGGCATTGAACTTCTGGCCTCATGGGCAACCCGGAATCGCAAGAAAATGCCCTGGCAAAGTTCACGTCATGGCTAAGAGGAAGGTTGCATCGGGTCTTCGCCACATAGCTGTTTTCTCCACACGACCACAAACAGCTGAATACAAAGAATAGTGCTGATTCGGGTAGATCTGGGTAATCTTCTAGTACGGTTTCAGTCATTCTATACCTCGTACGTCCTCTGAAGGCATCCCATAGAACAGAGCGGGTTATCATTGTTGACAAAATATCCTTCTTGATATCCGTACTACCCAGTAGCTGTTCCTTCATTGGTTCCGTCATACAACGCCAGGTAGCTTCGATTTTGTTAAACACCGCTTTCTCGCAAGTTCTATGGCGTAAAACTAGTTCCGAGAATAGTCGCTCGACAATTCTGGACCCGATGCCAGCGATCTTTATTGCGCTGGGCGCCTCCAGTGCGTACCAAGGCGCGTCCAGGTAACTAGCCTCCAAATCCACTCTCCATCCTCCTCCGTGTAGCTCGCCAGCGGCGTCTCCGAAACCGTCGTATACGTTGCTTTTATTGAATGTGGATAAATACGGCGCCATACTTATCCAGTTCGTTACAGCGCTGAGCGTCATGTCAGGATAACTCTCGTAGAGATCTTCGAAATGCTCTGGTCCTGATCGTCTGAAGAGGCCCGTGTAAGCTGATGCCGAATTCACGAGGGCTTCCTTCGTGCACTTGTCTCTAAGGACCGGAGATTTTGCACGTGAAAGGACGTTTATAAAGAGCGGCTGATACTTTGCATCAGCTTTCCGACGTCATTCCTCATTCTGGCGGTGACGACGTCGCTCAGGTAGGGATACTCAAGCGCGTAGTGAAAGACGTGGTCGCTGTTGGTGAAGCACCACGCCCTGTGAGTTTCCAGAATGGTGCCACGAGAATCGGTACTTGCTGCTTCGGCAATTATGCTTCTCCTGGTGAACGGTACTAGCGCTTGGGCACACAGCCAGCCATATAGTTCAGCAAAATTATTGTCGCCGAGCTCCTTGTGCAAGCCGAACACGGCGCGTGAATAGCGGTGGTCGTGAATGACGACGAGCACGTCGTTTGGGCCGGATATATTCAGAAAACTGCGAAAGGCTTTCAACCAGCGCTCATTCGTAATGCCTGGTGATATGCTTTGAATTTTCGCTAAGCTGGTGAACACTGCGGCATCTTTACTTCTAGAATGGTGAGTAGAAAGCAAAGGGCTTAGAGAAGATATCAGAGCAATTTCCAGACGTGACATCTTACTGGCTCTTTCTCGAAAGTCCGAGGCATTCTTGTGCTGCGACAAGGCTCCATACAAGGCACGAAAGTACTCCTCGTATTTCCGAGACGTCATGTTCTTAACGCGCCTAATGCTTGCCGCCTAGAACTGACGCCACGTTCTCCGGCCTTCTAATGATGACGCGCTCATTGGATCCACTCTCCAGGGTTACTTCTAAGAGCACCGGAATCTTGACCACTTTGGTCATGTAGATCATGCTATCCAGGACGTCTGAAGAAGTGTTGCCGTCGACGCCATTATCCGGCCATGTGACGCCGCCTTCCGCCAGAACTTCCCCGACGTACGCCGACTGGTCTTGCCCCTCTGCGACAATGTCATCGCACGCTACAAGATGCCTTGCCGCTTTCTGCACGCTGGTCTGTTTCCTGACTTCGGAAGCATACGGAATGCGCACGTCTCTGGCACGCCTGGTAACGTTGTTCCGAAAAGCAGAGGCGAGGACCTGCGTGACACTGCGACCCGGGTGCTTCGTTGGCCACGAACCGCACACGTACTCATAGAAATCTTCGCAAGGGTCGCGCCTCACGTCCAGCGAGTCCTTGAGCAAGGAGCTCATTCGACGGCAAGCCTCTTTGCCGCAAAAATCAACTTGCGTTGAGGAGGTCTCCCGCACCTCCTGAAGGTGTCCACTGTCGTCGCTTTTCTTGGAAGCATTCCTGAAGAACAGGGCGAGAGACGGCGCGAGCATTGCGACGACGACGAAAGTCAAAACCGATGTAAAGACGAGGCACGTCCTGGCGGGGCTGCGCTGCACGACTCGCAGCAAGGACGTGGTACCATCGCGCCTCCTCAATCGATCGTCGTCATCGTCTCGACAGGAACCCTGGGACATTGAAAGCTCGGTACTTAGGCATTCTCGCAGCTGCTTGATGAATCTATTAATACTTGATGAACAATGAACATGTTTTACCCAATGCTTACATTTGAGATTAGTTTCGTTAACTGACCTCCAAACGCATAGAATAAAATCATGTGAACTGCTATGCTGTCAAATACCTGCTATTGAGATCAAGCGCTATTACTTATGTCTCCGACGTACCTCTCTTGAAAGCGATTGCAAAAACGAATACATCTATAAATAAATTAGTACTTGACGAACCGAAGTTTTATTTTCGGGTTAACGTTTATTGTCTCTATGGGTTACTCTGTTCAGCGGGTCCCTTTAGACGGCTCCCAATGCGGTAAAACGCGCGACAGTGACATCCTGCTAACCTGTAACTTGACGTCGGTAACCACGATGTGAAAAAAAAAGAAATCAGGGGCTAAGGCATATGTAATAAAGCAAGTGTTGCTCAAGTGAGGGAGATGCACGCAGGGTAACTTTCATTCAGACCTTTAACAAGGTTTCAATGAGAAGTCGGCGCTTCCATTCAAGTGCTGGCTGTTCTTTCCCATTTGACATAGACCGTACCGCCACCGCTGCAGGTTTTTTCCTGAACGACTATGTCGTAAAAGAAGCCGAGGAAAAAGCACGCACTACGTCAGCTTGTGCAGCCACATGATACAGCGAACACGTCATGTTCGGTTCATTCAACTGCTCAGAACGTTGCTATGGCAACGGCTGCCATCAGAGGAGGTCAAAGTAAAACATTTCGTCACACGAATCTTTTGTTCTACTCAACAGTGGGACTCTCTTCTGACCATTGGTTCGGGACATGTGCGTGTCATGCACTGAGTAGAGTAACTGTGAGAAATTGAGAAGAAAAAGTCTTATCTCACGAACAAAGGTTGATTCATGGTTAAGCATACTACATAATATCTGGAAATTCCTGGTGAAATTACAGCGAAGTGAGATAAATGGTGCAGGTTTTCTAGACATATTAGTATATATATAATGACTGCACCAAGAAGTTATTGCTGAACATTTAAATATCTTGAAAACCTGCATACCTTGTGGCAGAATAAAAGAATTTTACAGGAATGCCCCAGTTGGTTCGTATAGTATACATACCTGCACATCAACTCCGATAACTAGTTTTCATCGTTAAACAGAATTTTATTCCAGCGCATTCCTCATTCAGCTACAACACGTGTAGCCGCCATCGAAAAATCGCACACGATCCTGCCAATGGTAACTACCAAAAGGGTACAGAAGAAATAAGTAAGGAGGAAGCCATTTTATGATGCCTCAAAAAGCAGCAGTTTACAGTTTGAAGCGAGGTAAAGTTGCCCTGGAACACGTATTTTCAAGATGAGATTCAGTACTGTAGAAAAATGTACTTGCTGAGGGGAAGCTGAGGAAAGAACACGGAGCTACAAGGGAACAATCAAATACACACCCAGGTATATGTTTGCGCACTTGCCTACAGAAAGCTTCAGGTTTCACGGATACCAATGGAAAGATGAGCAGTTGTGCGACAGTAAGTAAAAATTCGTTGCAAGATTTGTGTCGGAAATTTAGAGAGAACGCACAAAAATAGGCAGCAGGGAAAGCTTACGTCACATTACCGAAGGAAGCTGAAAGTTGCGCCGGCGATTAATTGGGCTTTTTTCTTTTCAATCTGTTGTTGTTAGTCATAAAACCCCGATATCATGTGGAGGGACGCCGTAATGGAGCGCTGCGGAAATTTCGACCATCAGTCGCTCTTTGACGTGGGCTGACATCGCACAGTACACAAGCCTTTACCACTAAGCCGACACCGAAGTGCGAACGCCAGAATCGAACAACAACAACAACAACAACAACAACAACAACAACAACAACAACAACAACAACAACAACAACAACAATTATTATTATTATTATTATTATTATTATTATTATTATTATTATTATTATTATTATTATTATTATTATTATACATATGAAACAAGCTGTTTTGAGCTTCATGGCGCACAGGTCCCCGCCCCGTTGTAAAAGAGGCGCCCAAAGCACACACGCATCTATCCTAAAGCGTACAAAAGCCAGTACTCTATTCGGCAACAAGTGCGGCAACTCTATACCGGCAGTTTGTCCACGTCCGCTCGAACTGTAGGGTCTCGTCGCTCGCCCCCGACTCCTCTCAGCGATTGGTGGCGCCCTCCCTTGAAGGCTGCGGCAGCCGCAGCGGCCATATCGGATGCGACACGCACGTCGCTCACAGAGGCCGCTTTCTTTGAGGGCACTGGTTGGTGCTCCTTGACCCTTGAACAGTCCTCTTCCATCGAAGGAATGTGCTCTGAATGGCTCATGATGGGGGCCTACAACTACTAAAAAGAAAAGAGCAGTAGCTTAGTTTAGCTATGCTAGTGATATACGAAGCGTAAGCTATGGGCGGACGGACACACAGACGTATGGACGGACGCACGCACTGGTGGAGGAACGGACGAACTAGCGAGCGAGCCTACACGTGTCAAGCGCCAGCCCACTTTGAGGACCCGTCACTCCAGGAGTTTTCATACCTCCTCCGGCGCCCCAGCTGTGCTTTGTGTGACGTCACTGCTCCTCGGACATGCGCAGCACAGTTCTCGATAAGCCACGCGAAACTGCTCAACGTGCGGCTAGTGTTGCATACGCTACAAAAAATGCGCAAACTCTAATTAGGGAGCAAGCTGTTATCAACTGACACCACGATGCCTTGGTATGACTGCGAATCTCATGATAACGGAAACGTTGCCTATGATGTGAGTTCACTGAAAAGATGCACGATAAATTTCTGTGCATGAGAAACATACGCAACAAAGCCAGGGAAGGCATATTTAAATGACTGAGTTTTAACTGCAGCGTAGATAAATAGCAAAAAAAGAAAATAAATACTAGGAGGGAAAAAAAGATTAGCTTGCTAAAAACAAAAACATAACTTGCTCTAGGTGACCACCGAATGTAGGTATTGTGCATTGCACACGTGGAAATCGATCAGTAAGCATACTGAGGGGGTCGCAATGTTAAGATTATTTTCAGTTAAAACAATAATAACGGTCTGTACGTAATAAATTATACTAGACGCAATGCAGCTAGAGTTCTGCTCTCTAGACAGAGCTAGAGTTGCGGAAAAAAAAAAAGCTGTTGCACTCAGCGTCCACATAAAGCAATCGCCGACAAATATGGGACATTTATTCAGATGCTGCCGTCAGGTATGGTGCGTTAACTTAGCTGCGCGTATTTAAGGTATTAGGGCAGCCATGGCTTACACAGTCAAATAGTAATGATTAAGAGGAACAAGAAGATATGAGTGGACCAATTTATTTCGCTATAGGTATGGCCTATATGATCTAAATCCCATTCATTTAGTGATGCAGGATTTCGCACCTTTCTTTTGCATTCACGTCCAGCTTAGTTTACCGCGCGATATGTCATCTTCATTTTTATATTTAGGCATGCTATTTTATTACCGCTTGAACTCCCCGGCAGGAGTTAGCGAACCTGTCACAGTGTACGCAGGAAGGCCGCCAATAAACTGATGTTCCAAGAAGCAACAAGGTGTACATGCTGAGCGAGAATTTACAAGACAGATATCAAATCCACACTTATGTAAACAAGCCAAACATTGCCTCACACCCTAAAGTAACTGACAAACAGCCACGGCGATCTAATGAATTGCTCGGGAATAGCACGAGCGTTTACTGAAGGTGCGACGAAATTTATGCAGCTATTTCACGGAAGCAGTAAGCGGAACACTGAATTCGACGAGCCACGTCCCTCAGTGCGTGCTCTTGAGTCCAGACCTGTTTAGAGATTACCTGCAATCACTTGATCGAAAGTCGGCGCCCTCGCTGAAGCATGCACTCGTCCTCTTCTTCGATGATGATGATGATGATGATGATGATGATGATGTTGACGGTGGTTCTCGTAAGACTCAAACAATGATGAATATGAAAATGCTATTAGAACTAATACCAGAGGTCACGATGTTGATTTGCAGCTCTATTAGGCTGTACCCACTACGCGGAATAGGTCTACAATCTGCAGCAGAAAGAAAGTTCTCCTCTTGAGTTGGAACAGTGTTCGAAGAAATGCAGCAAAAGGATGACTTGGGTTAGTTTGTCAGGTTTCGTTTTGAAACCATACAGAAGACGGAATACATAGAAGAAGACAACACGAGCAGTGACTGACAACCGAGCGCTCTATTTAAATGAAACAAAAGAAAACGAAAACTAAGAAAGAAAAACATGCTCGCACAACCTGTGCACATGATAAAGAAAAAAAAACTAGCACTTCTCTCGCACGGTCTCTCCGTTAGCTCCTAGGTGGGAGCCTAGCCCAGAAATTTGCCGGAAAGTAATAAAGTCTAGCTACGTCTCTCTCTCTCCCTTCTCCCGCATACGAATACAACCGATGAGCGAAGCTCCTTGCAAATGGGACGCAAGCGACGGTGCGCCTGATCTCGTTGCTGGCTTTCACGAAGGCGGTAGGGCTTGGAGGTGGGGGGGGGGGGGGGGGGAGTTTGCGGTGTACGATAGTGGGGACAACTCAGCTAGTGAGTGTGCGGCGCACGCCGCGCACTCACTAGCTGAGTTGGGTATGGCTCCCGCCAGATGGAAGCACGAGCCATCTGGCGGGAAGCGTGCACCTGTTGTTTTGCTCGGCGCGCTTTTCCGGCGCAGGGAGCTTCGACGGTGGCGATGGTGACAGCGGAGTGCGGGCTTAAAGAGCTTCGCTCTTACAAAAATATCCCCTTATATCAACATTCGCTTTAATGACCAATATCCCGTAGTTGGTAGGAGCCAAATAGTCAAGTCGCAAGCAAGCAAGCAAACAAGCAAGCAAAA